GAAGCAAAGATGGTGATAAATCTTTATCAGTCATAAATGATAATATATGATTAGAAATCACACAACATGTATATTAATCATGTCTCTGAAAAGTGAACTGAGAGAGTGGATTGATTACACCAATTGAGGCACGCTTTGGTGGAGGTGTCCACGAGGCATGAACTGTCACGTGACAGGTACAACGACATGTCACAAGGATGAGGGTTGGAATGGAACTCGCCCAAGTCCAAAGTTCCGCGAGATAAGTTCCATCCCCTCCTCGCTTTACTCTTGAAACTAAGAGATCAATCCCCTGTCTCAAAGTTTCTCTTTTCAATTCACATTAAATTTCAAAATTCCATCCCACCCACCCTACAGAGCTAACCATCTTTACGATCAGAGTGCGACACGTGCATAAGAACGTTGGTTTGGAAGACCAATGTTTTGGTTGTCTAAACCAAAGTTTTGGTTCAGGAAAACCAAGAGTTTAGTTTAGGGAGACCAAGTCTGACGCACGCTTCGCGCACTTTCCCACATGAGCTTTTTCCTCACCACGAGGCAAGGAAGAAGCAAAGATGGTGATAAATCTTTATCAGTCATAAATGATAATATATGATTAGAAATCACACAACATGTATATTAATCATGTCTCTGAAAAGTGAACTGAGAGAGTGGATATATATTTGTTGCTTTTGAGGTTTTGTTGATTACTTGTTACTTTTTGGGGACAGAGCAATGGGACAAATGTTGAAAATTAATTGAAATATCTATAAACATACCGTTGGTATGTCTTAATCCACCTGACTATTGACTACATTTTGCTTATATTGAAATCAATTTTTTTTCGACCCATAAGCTTCGACTACTACTACAACAGCTGATCTTACGATGTGGGCTCAAACCAATCTATCGAAGTCACACTCATAAAGTGACTCCTCAGACTCTTGCAAACTTTTTGCGCTCTTGGAAGCATCAATATGTCACAGGCGCGAATTCAATTTCAAAAGAAAAGTGTGATGATACCATTTTGTTGGGATCGAACACGCTACAAAAAAATTTAATACAAGATCTAAAAGATAAGAAATCAAGATATCGATGGGGGAAGGGACAGTTTCACAAGGAAACCGAAACCAAATCGGTTTGATTGGTATTAACATGCTTTGTCCGGGGTTTCTTTCCAGGACGTATGATTTTGACCGGAGGTTTGCGCTTGTTAGCATTAGGTGTACTTTCAGTCTGATGGCCATATAAAAATATTCATCAGTTACTTTGAAAGAAAGAAATGTAATGAAAGAGTCGGATACACATACCGTTTGTGCCTGTGTTTGTTTTGCCTGCTCTCGCTGGTTTGCGCGAGTCTCCTTAGCTTGCTGAGAAGCATTTTCGTATTCAGCCAAGGTCGCCTTGGATTGATTGTATATATTCATCTCTTCTTCAGAAGGGTCCAAAATCGCAAAAACATCTCTCTTGTTAGCCCTCCAAAGGCGTATTACCTGCATGATTACCTCATATGAAGTGGGTAGTGGCTCACTGCCAAATATATAATTTAAATCCAAACCTTCAAGGCATAGATCGATGTTGACACACAAAGTCCATATCTTTTCTGGAGGGAAGAGATCGTCGAATGTGTAGAAAGTCTCTTCAGGATACTCTTCCTGATATAAAGTCTTTAAACCACGCTCAAGTTTTAATCGCAATTGGATCAGGCGCAGATCGGTACGTAGAGGATCCTGAGGAAGACTGCCTCTGATGCAAGCATATGGTGAGAGTTCTTCAGTGTTAGATTCGGGGAAGTGATCTTCCAGGGATGTATATGTCTTGGGTGGTTCACTTTGAAGGACCATTTGAGTGAAATTTGAATTCGTTAATACAGGTTGCTGAGCCAAGAAGAAGGTAGCGGCCTTTGGATTGCAGTTGGAGCATAAGCAGGTGATCATTCCAGCATTGTTCTGCCTTTTTGTCTCCATTATCACGGACGGATCATCAAGTGATAAAGGTACATAACCACATCTAGATAATGGGAGAGTTAGCTTCTGAGACGTTTTGCAAAAACAATGTTACAAAACCATCATCACTTACCGAAGGAGTACAGAAAAGGCAACTCTCATACAGACTTTGGTTATAGCCATTGCATGCATGTGCTGGTCATCGTTTTGATCAGCCGGATCTTGTAATTCTAATACAGACTTTTCATCTTTGGGGGATACAGGTTGTACCAGCAAGATTGCTACTGCCGCTTGTCGATCTCGGCCACCTCGCCCGGCCATTTGCAATACATCCAAAGGATTTGTTTGCCCGGCAATGATAACTCTTCGCACTCGTTTCCAGTTCTGGCCGAGTCCAAGAGCGTTGGTACATGTCATGATGTTGAATTTCTCTTCCCCAAAATCTTGAGCATTCCGCACCTTGTCAATTGAATCAGTGTTGGCGTGAAATCTTCGGACCGAAGTACTCAATCCGTTTTTGGTTTCTTCCTCATTTTGACGGGCTGAGTTAATAGTTTCTAACGCTACGTAAGTGTCATTCTGAGTGTGACAGTAAACGAGAGATGGGACTAGTTCAGAGTCAGAGATTGATTCTTTGGGTGCAAAAAACTTTTTGAGAGTATTCCAAGGTTTCTGTGATCGTGGTAGTGTAACCCGGATGAATCGTATTTCCGGTCGGGTCAGCTCGCCCACATGAATATCAATTGATTCTTTTGTGATCTTGAGACTGGCAAGTATTTGCTCGAGGTGCTGAGGCAGACAAGTTGCTGACACTACACCAAATGTAATCTTTACCGGGCGGTAAAGAAAACTACTGACATAGAAAAGTCCTGAGGCAACAGGAAGAGAGCTAAAAATCTGAAAAAATATATACCTTGTTCCTAGATGTTGGGGCGTCATGATGAGTATTTTTTTGCATTTACACACAGATATTGGTTTATGTACTAACAATAAACACTGAAAATCATCAAAAACTCACATGTAACAATACCTGAAATATGGGTCATGAGTATGAAGACAATATTTTGTGGTCTAAAAACTGCAATAACTTTTGCAATTCTGCTCCAAATAACTCGATTTTTGGTTCATTCAAAAGCTGAACTATTCTTCTTCACACTTCATAATGGTAGTAAGGTGCTATCTAGTCATTTAAACACTCTACATATGTTCAAACAGTTCTGCATGAATAGCTCTGTAGGATCTTTTTTAGACCAGCTACAGATGTGATGTCTCAATGAAAAATGTAGAGGAAAGGCTCACCTTTTTAATGCACTTTGAATCAAGTGATTTGATTCAGAACTGCAAACGTTATTGATGTTTGAAGATTCCAAAATCCTATCTTCAAAGTCAAGGGCCAAATTTCAGGTATTGTTACAGGTGGGTTTTTGATGATTCTCAGCCTTTATTGTTAGTACATTCACCAATATATGTGTGTAAAATACAAAAAAATACTCGTCATGACGCCCCAACGTTTAGGAACAAGGTGCATATTTTTTCAGATTTGTAGCTCTCTTCCTGTTGCCTCAGGACTTTTCTATGTCAGTAGTTTTCTTTACCGCCCGGTAAAGATGACATTTTGTGTAGTGTGACATAAGAAGGGTTGGAATCGACTCGGTAGCCAGAAAACGTTCAATCAAGTTTCCGTATGACGGGCGGAAAGCAGTTCTATCTTGATGGATAGAGTGTGAGTGATAATCCTTCATTTTCCCGCTCAATACTAGGCCCCACAGGTAGATAAGATGTGCTTCGTCTACCACCTTGAGAATCAGACGCTCTTGGAAACGTTTTGAGAAGTACAGTCTCTCAAAGAGAAGATTGTTCATGAAAATCTCCGGAGACTATTGCAACAGGGTCATATCAAAACACCAAGCCGTCAGTCAGATCAAATCGATGATGATGATGATAAATAAGAAGCTCAACTAGGGCTTACAACATAGATGAAGTGATATTTTCCTGTCAGGATATTGTCAAAAACCTTTTGGTTGAACATTGCTCGAGTGAGATTAATTGCCGATAGCCCATGTTTCTTCTTTTCTTCAACCTGGTGCATAGACCAAAACCAAATCTATCAGTGTCTAAAATGATAACCACACGGATTTAGTGTGACTTACTTGATTGTTTCCCAAGGCGTCCAATGGATTCAAAGTCAAAATGATTGGCTTTGACGATTTTGGAAACATCAAATAATACAACTCCGGAATGAGGGATTTCCCATAGCCAGTACTAACAAGAATAAAAGTTTCTCGACCTCGGCTAAGACTCAGCACCGCCTTAAGTTGAATTTCTCGAGGCAGCAGCTTGAACACAGCCAGACATAACCTGCGGATCTCGTCCAATCGCTCATGGTCGTCAAGCTTCAGTAAGGACTTCGAAGGGCTTATGCGACCGCTTTGAGGTGTAGCTTGAGAAACAGATGATAAGGACTTTGATGGGGTTATGTGACCCGTTTGAGATGTTGCTCGAGAAATGGATGATAGGCCTCCTGATTGAGATGGAACTGAATGAGTAACTGTTTGAGAACGCCGGTTACGAGTGAGCATGATGGTGTTCAAAGACCAAGTTGAGTCGGTGAGGGCGGTGAAGTTAGTCAATACTAACGAAGACATGTGCTAATAGGCCGGTAGACCGAAGAAGCGGGGGGGCGCCTGGGACTCGTCTGGGATTCTGGTATTCTGGGACACACCTCTCATGAGCCATGAATTCATGGGATTATAGCAGCGTCCGTGTATGTAAATACGGACCTATTTTGAGCCTAACCAAAACCTTTTGTCCATTTAACCGCAGTAAAATCCGACGTATCTTAAGCGCTGGTATGTGTGGTCTTTGGATGTCCGCGTCGGTGACATGGGTGATCATTCATATCCTCCATCACCCTATTGCCTCGACCTCAACATCCTATTAACTGAAGCTACTGACCCACCATACCGCCCACTAATAACTGACTGATCGACTCACCATACCGCCAATGCTTTTACGAGATTTCACCTTGCAAATCATCACCCAGTCCCCACACCTTGCCGCAACTCTCACTGTAGGAGACTTCGTACGGTTCGTGTCACTTGCGGCTGAAGTAGATCACCAGGCCGCCGATTCATTACGTCTCACACCGACTCGCAATCCTGTGATACCATTTATGCAATCCGCTCTTTCTGGTCCCTCAACACATACACATATGGCTCACCTTTGGCGTCTTTCTTATCCAATTCTACGCTCATGCCGAATCGACACAAACGCTTTAATCCGCGAGTTTGGCCTACAACAGCATCTAACCACTCAAATGCCGGAAAGATTCTTACGATCACCGCTTTCCAAGTGCATTCTATGCACACCAGACCATTCATACCCGTTACACGTCCATTCACGCCTGGACGGCTACCTACACGACATCGATGGCATGCACCCTGTTCAGACTGTCATACTAAATTGTTCAAGTAAGCAATTTCATTGGAATGCATTTGGTGCTAAACCTCATCAACTATGTAATCGTATTTCTTTAGATCCCCATTGCGAAACAATGTACAGGCCAAGCTTCTACACGCGAGACAGCGACCAACATTATTACACGCACACGATGGAACGCAACAAAGATTACCTTCATGTCCATTGTCATTATTACATGACCACCCGTCTGGTCTACATGTTCCGAGTTTTGCAGATGTTAGGCCAGTGAGTTCATTTGAGTTCATTTCTGCTTAACCACGCCCTTTTGAAACAATGTTGATTAACGTTTTTTTGTGCGCTCAGTGTCAGCCATTTCAACCTTGTGAATTGGTTCAACACCATTTTCGTAGACGACTCGCCTCCCCCGTCTTTCACACCCAGCCAGTTGTTCAGTCCTTCGATGTCGGAAGAAGAGTGTCGTCACGGGCTTGTGCTGCATTCCTTAATAAAGCACGCCGACCGTAGAGGCACCCAGTTAGTGGTTAGCTCCAGTGGAACCAATAACCTCCGTTTCGAGGCCGCTATCAAATCACACTTAGATGTGTTACTGATTGAAGGTACAAAGTACCGCGACCACTTTTGCTCAAGTTGTGTTCGTATTTTACCTGATGGCACCGACCCTGAGACCAGTGAACCTTTCTGGAAAAGTAAGTGATACCAACGAACGGCTCTCATGTTGCGGATGGATGACTAACGTCGCCTTCGGTGTTTAACAGCCATTCGCGCGGTGGTCACTGATGGGGTGACGTTGGGCCATTGGCGGTGCAGCGCGTCTACGGAACAATTGCAAGAAGTCGCTCGTAGTTCGGGACATCCAATGCCTGAAGGGCCGTGTACACGCCAGTTGGACAACATCAATGATCGATACTGCCCACTGCACTTCGCTTTACTCGGGAATCGCTGCCGGGCCCAGCCTTGCCAAAGATTCTGTGAATCGGGAATGGAGACTTGCTATGATGAGGACCACATTAAAGCATGGGCAGATTTCAACAAACGCGTCACGGGCAATTTTTCTCTGACGTCTATCCTAACTCGACCTGGCACAAATCTTCCCACCGACCCCACCGTGCATTTAAACCCCGAAACCGCTGAGTTTCAAGACCTGGATAGTTTGCGTCAAGCTGACGAGTCGCAGAGGTCTCACGAGGCCGCCCGGGACGGAGGCCAGTCACAGGCATCCGGCAAATATTTGTTATCAAGATCTCGAACTCACAATGAGCAGCTTATAGTCGGGCCTTGTGGGATAATTCTAGCGAGGAAGACTTTTTACAATGCGGAGTCCGTAAGTGCTGTTAAGGTGAGCAGCCAATCTCAACTGGACACCGTAACACTGAATTTACTGACTTTCATTGTTTTCAAAATCATTTGGGTTGTACGCGCAGGACTTCCTTGAGGAAACGTTCCCCCAAGGAATGCCGGAGGTCGTATTCTACGACAATGCGTGCAGGTTGACTGAACACATCTACCACGGGGATAACGACCGAAGCCGCTTCCTGGGCACTGTGATCCCGGTGGATCCCTTCCACCACCGGTCGCACGCAGAATCAGATGAATTCTGTAAACTCTTCACTGACCCTCATCTCTTCCCTGATATTCAAGAGGGAGGTCAATGGATTTTCAACGCGTCTGCAGCAGAACTGACTAACATTTGGTTTGGTGGATATGCATCGATGTGCCGGAACATGCACCCGTTGCATTACAATCTATTTTTAGAAGAAATGATCTTTTTGAGGAACGCGTGGTTGACTAAAAAATTGGAAAAAAGAAAAGGGATGGAGTTTATCGGTGAGGGGGTTCTAAAATGATTTTATTACTTCTGTCGTCGTCCTTGTCTGTCTTAAAACCGTTGCAAGTAAAGAAACAAGCGATTCCAATTCAATCAAGTGAAAAAAATGTGATTGATCTGTATAACACCTCCCGACGTGAACCCTTTCAAGAAGGGGTTTATCCTCCTGGTACAATGTCTCATCATGAGTGTGTCCCTTATAGCACCCCTCCCTCCCTTGGACCCTTGAGTGGTGGTAGGGTAGACCCATGTTCCAATCCCTACCCTATGAATGGTGATGAGCGTGATAATTTATATGATGATAATTTATATGAGCCACCCCATAAAGACCGCATATCTGTCAACACACATATCTGATCTGACATCGCCTCATCTCGTATTACTATCACCATGGTTCTCTCTTACAAAGCAGTAATTGGTGCAATCCTACGTGCAACCGCCGATGTAAGATAAGACATTATGACTCTATTTCACGTTGATTATTGACCTTATTTCTTGGATTTCTACTTATCTATCTATCTCTGACGCTTTCCACCTCTAGCCGGTGCCAGTTGACCCCGCCAAAACCGGAATGGCATGGCGCGGAACTGCAACCGATCTTGTGCTTGTGGATGCTGAAGGGAAGACCTTCACCGTGCCGCTCGAGGCCTTTGGATTTAACTTGCCATCCGACTTGCTTCGCCGCGATCACACCTATCATTTGTCTGGGGACTTAGGACAAAAATCGACTGGCGAAGCTTTCATTAAGCACAGCGAGCTTACTCAGAGCAAAATCTGCTCTTCGGCTCCTGACCATGAATCAATTGCTGGAAAAACAACAATGAGTGCAATTGGGAAGGTGGTAAATGTTTCTCTTGACAACGACAATGAAGATGAAGAATTTCATCTTACGGTTGAAGCCGAACACGAGGGATTTGACCCTAGAGTAAGCAAGCACCCGTTCATACCCGTTCATATATTCATTGAGACAAGACTGACCCAATTTGTTCGTTGCTCAGGGAAACAAGTCTGTTTCTTTTGAGATCATATATCGCTTTGGATATTTCACTCCTGCGTTGAAGGAGGCGAGGTACATCAAGAAAGGGTCCTCTGTTTATTTCCAAGGAACCCTTGTTTCCCAAGATCCACAATCTAAACGCTTCATTGTCCAAGTGCGCCTTTCAATTGTAATCATCATCTCAGATGATGATTCGCTCACTGACTCAAATCTCATATGATGGATAGGTTATGCAACATGCCGAAATAGCTGTGACCGAAGATGGGGAAGACGTGGCTCATGGTAATGTGGTCAAAGGGAACGTGGTATGGGTGGAATGATTGGTGGGTGCATGAAAGATTCTGCGACATGATACTACCAAACATGAATGTGCTACAATCAAAGACAAATCTGTATTGCGCTGGGCTCCCCGTTACCCTTGTTGTATGGTTGCATTAAATCCTCACAGATCTCTTTCAGTACTTAATGGCATTGTGCACATCAGAAGTATCACCACAATTTCGTGAGAGAACCAGAAGAGAATTCCACTTATGGGTCCTGCAATCATTGGAGTATGAGAAGTATGAGAGAGCGTTGAAAAATTCAAAAATTGTTAGTAAACAGGTTTTTAAATTTTGAATACGTACTTATGAAACACAGTGTCACTTACAAGGCGCCGTCACATCTCTGGCCTTGACATACGCCACTTTATTAAACTCGGCCTTGTAGAAGTCGCGAGCCTCGCCCACAGAAGCCTGTGGTAGTGAGCCGTACTTGGCATGAAACCGCAGGTAGGTGACTTCATCAATCCAAAGTCGGTATCTATACATAGTAGATGGTTTCAACTGCCATTCACCGCCCCAACGCGTCATCCACTTCTGCTTGACATTGCCGTTTACAGTCTCCTGATACCATTCCAGCAGGCTGGAGACGGGTGAGTTTGTTGGTGGCCAGCGCTTCTTCAGCGTCATTGAAGAGGAGGGCCTGTTTAAACAATGGATCTCAATTTCAGGCAATCACGTGTTAAGATGCAGGCAGGCCGTACTAACTCGGCATGGTTTGTTCGCTCTACCTCGGCCTCAATGTCATCATTGAGTGGCTGAGTTGAATCTATGTTGGTACTCGGTGTACTGGGGGTTTGCTCATGTCCGAGTAGACGTCGCGTCGTCGTCGCCAGTGAAAGGTGGGACGCTGTAGAGTCAAGTTCAGCAGCGACTTGGCTTTCATGGCCATCGAACTCAATAGTGGCAGGTGGCAATGACAAAGGCATGTCGTATATCGGCGGAAGGTCTGAACTTGATCGATATTCTTTGGCACAGGGTGGTGGTTGGGTCGTAGTAGGGTTTCGCATTGCGGGCGGTATCGCATTTTCAGGAACGGTGACAGTCTGTAGTCGCACTACTATAGTGCGACTAGAGAATCGATGTGGATAACTCGCTAGTGTGTCATGCTAAGGGATGGTCATAAGGTATGTCAGGTGCCGTCACCCGTCATGGTATACATTAGGTATTTATACAGGAAGGTATTTACCCAGGCGTAGATTTGCTTGTCCCAAAAGCTGAGCGCTTGGTTCCATTGTGAGCCCACAGCCTTAATGACTGCCTGTACCAACAGTGGGCTTTGATCGAGGCGAGCAAGTGGCCATTGTGGAAACTTTGCGGTTATAGCCTGCTTTTCATTATTCTGCAAATAAGGTAGTCATCAGCTTATGATTAAAACGTTTACTAATTCTACTCACGTTAACCCATAGGTGGATTGTGACCATGTTCTTTTCGTCAATCAGGCTATTTGCCCTCAACTCTGCTTCTCGGTCTCGCTGAGCGCGGAGCTGTTGAATCAGAGCCACAGATTCAACGTCGATGCGGCGGCCCAAGGAATTGGACGCCTGCGCCCACTGATGAGGTTGGCTTTGCGAGGCTGGCGCTCTTGATTGGGCTGGGATGATGGCGGCAGAGTCGGTGCCGGAGGTAGTTGGATCGCTTGGGTTGCTTAACAGGCGATTAAGGCTCGTGGTGCTCAAGTCGTGCCGTTGGTGGGGCGGGGTGCCGCCACTTGTGGAAGTGCGAGGGTGTTGCCGACACAGAGGTGACCCATAAGCTAGGCAACACTGCAAAAGAAAACAACGAGATTTCAACAAAAAGGTAGGGGTCATCATCTATACATTGAGGCAGTACTGCGACAGACACGCTTTGTTGGCGGCGCTCTTGTGGCTTTGAGCCGTTGGCCCCTCGAGGGATCGTTGGCACTTCACAACCGGTTTAGAGCGCGGAGCGCGAGCTGAGGTATGATGGGTCGTGGTATTCTCGACCTGAGGTCGTTGCAAGTAGGGGTGAAAGGGGTTGCAATCGTGGTGATTGCGAACTGGCTTTGGTTCGAGATGCTGGCCAGAGGGTGAGACCCGTGGACCCCAGTCAGACTTGGATGAGATGATTGGCCTCGGTGCGCCTAGGTTGATGAGGGCAAGCTCGTGATTCAGCTGGTCACAGCGCCACCACTTCCAATTATGCGAGTTGTTGGGAGTGGGGCACTGGGGAGGCGAAGATGTGTCAGCTCAGTTGTAACCAATAAATGTACGCAACGATGTTGAGGTTTGGACTCACCCCAATCAGCCACGAATCCTCATTCGATTTGAGGTATTTCATAGGCGTCGTACACACCGGGCAAAGGACGCCTACTGGCCCACGGCGGGTAGGGAGAGGTAGCGGTAAATCAGGGTTGACGAGTCGATATTTGGCCTTGATGAGAGTGGCAACGACCATGCTGTCAATCGATGATGTGATATGAGGTTGGTTGAGGTTGTCGGGCTGAACTCAAGCAGAGGCGATCGGCTCATCGTGGCGAGATAGATCTTGAGGAAAAAAGTTAAGTGATGAAGCACAAAAATTCTCTTGAAACACGGGGGTGCTATCCCAATTGGGAAGTGGAGGCCAAGTATGCTGAGCTGTGAAAGCTCAGCATGGTATTTACATAAGAGTGGTTATGGTTTTGGACGAAGGGATTAGGAGGTTTGTGCCGGCTCACATGTAATATGCTTATTTATGCTTATATAGGGGGCTGTATGAGCCTGTATTACCAGAGTCCCAAAAAAGTACCAATTCCCAAATTCCCAGAATCATTCCCCGGTTTCTTCGGTGCTCCTTAATAGGCATGTGTCTACTTGTGGAACTTAAAGACGTACCACATAACTCTCCAAAGGGTTTTGGTAGTCCGTTGTTAAGGGTTTTATTTTTTTCCATTTTGTCATAAGTTTGAGGCGAGCATAAAAATTCCAAATCTTGTGGAAGGCCTGTACAGGCCCTCTTAGGCTGTTACAGGAAGACATAACAATCAGATCTGGCAACTTCTCCTGAAAGCGTCACAGAGCTGAGTGGTGGATAAAAGTTGTATGAGAATGTGTAGCATCTCATGAAGATGAACATACCTGAAGGTCACAAATTTCTACGGTGAGGGTTTGAGTAGAAGTCCAAAAAACAACATAAGGGGACTTAACTTTTGGAGCTCACCAGCCAAAAAACTCGAGTCAGTTGTAAGCCCCTCTTCGAGGGGCGCGGACGCAGCCGCGCGAGAGGGGCTTAGTTAAGCTTATGGGCACATGGTTGGCTGATTGTATTCATCACTAATTGCATCAAAAGGGTGTTATGTTGATTGAAAGTATAAGTTGAAGGCTCATCATGTCCAGGCCATACATGGGCAGATCAGGTGAACCAGGTTTTTGGTGTGGACTCTGGAGCTGCTTGTTTGTCAAATGGGTCCCCATAATTTGGAGCTTGCTTGTGGATGCCCTTGTCCCAGATGCCAAACACTGGGAAATTGGGTTCCTGACCAACAAATATGGCACGAAGTACATCATGATTTGTCGCTCGAAATTGCTGATGTGAAAATGCGAGGCATCACAAAAGCTCGTCGATGATCTAGGTGGTGCGTATCTAATAGCTAGACTAGGAGATCAGGTGAACTTGCCGCTACCGTAGATGGTTTGGCCTCAGGATATGATTTGAGTCCTCGCCCGATCTATCCTTGTGAGATGGAATCTTTCTGCAATGGAGTTCATCATGGGGCCATGACCTCTCTCGAAGCCTCGCGAGCTAGGAGGAATTGTTAAGTTTGGGCAATTAGCAGGACCTGAGCGAGGCCAATAACCATCATGAAATGTCCGTCTGATACCCATGATGTCATCTTCGTTGGTTGATTTGGTGTATGAAAACTTGACAATCATCAAGTACTCAGGATATAGTACTCAAACTGAGCGATTCATCTCGAATCCCAATTCTTTTGCAGGGGTACCCTTGCTTGTCTCATAGAGTTGTTGGTCACCATGTCAGCCCGAATGTGTTCCCGCCCGATTGTAGAGATTGGATTCTTTTTTGAAATGCTCTTTTCAATCCTTCAGCCCAAAAGGGTTAGAGGTTAAGGGTTCAAAGTTATGAAGAGGGGTCCACGAACTCATGTAACGGAATTCAAAAAAAGTCTCCATCCGGAACCGAATTTGTTGGAGGAAAATTAGGAAACACTGCCACAAATTGAGATGAACATCAGATAAACACAAGTGTGACAGACCCACTAGTTAGAGTGCTGTGTGTACGTGTAATTAGGTTGAGGAGGCTTTAAAGCCACAACTGATTTCATGTAAACGCACAACCCCATTCACCGATCACCACCAACCCACTTCTGAGCTTTCTTTATTCCTTTTAACATCCCTATCAGAAATCTAATTTTCATCCTCTTCATCCTCACAGTTCTCACAGTCGTTCCAATCAACTTTTTACGATACATTAAGTTTTGTTCATCAAGTCTTTAATTCTTCTTCATCTCATCTTCAATCATGAAAGCTATTATCCTTGTCGGTGGATTTGGTACTAGGCTTCGTCCTTTGACCTTGACTTTACCCAAGCCATTGGTCGAGTTCTGCAACAAGCCGATGATTGTTCATCAAATCGAAGCTCTTGTAGCTGTAAGTCTTGATAACTTGTGTGTATTCCTTCATCCTGCACTCCTAACGGGCTTTGACTCTTTTAGGCTGGGGTCGACGAGATCGTTTTGGCGGTAAACTACCGACCAGAGGTGATGGTGGCTGTGTTGAAAGATACCGAGGAAAAGTACGGGATTCGAATCACATTCAGTGTTGAAACTGAGCCGTTGGACACTGGTCTGTTACATCGCCTGCTTCCATTTTTTTAGGATCTGATGCAACAGTATTCTAACCACTTGATTTCTTTCGGTCTCTCTAGCTGGTCCACTCGCTTTAGCCCGAGATATCCTGGGAAAGGATGATTCACCCTTTTTTGTCCTCAACTCTGATGTCACTTGCAGCTACCCCCTCAAACAACTTGCCTCATTCCATCAAGCCCACGGTAAGGAGGGTACTATCATGGTCACTAAAGTTGACGAACCTTCAAAATACGGTGTGGTCGTACAAGTCCCAAATAGTTCAGAGATCGATCGCTTTGTTGAGAAGCCAGTTGAATTCGTCGGCAATCGGATCAATGCTGGAATCTATATTTTCAGCCCTAAGGTCTTGGACAGGATTGAATTAAAACCAACATCGATTGAGAAGGAAACATTCCCGGCTATGGTTAACGACTCACAGCTCCATTGTATGGATCTTGAAGGTTTCTGGATGGACATTGGACAGCCTAAAGATTTTATCTCGGGTACTTGTCTATACCTTGGTCATCTTACAGCGATCGGCGACTCTCAAATTATGGACCAGCATAATCACAAATGGATCGTCGGAGGAAATGTGCTCGTTGATCCTACAGCGGTCATAGATCCCACAGCTATGATTGGACCGAATGTAGTGATCGGACCAAAGTGTGTGATCGGTAAAGGTGCTCGGCTTCAGAGATGTGTGATCATGGAAGGAGCACGAGTCAAGGACCATTCATGGGTCAAGAGCTCAATGTTAGTATCCAAATACAGCCTCGCTTTTTCTATCCCATTCATCATCGCATTCTCACTGCTACCTAACTCTCTTTCAGTATCGGATGGAACTCTACCGTTGGTCGATGGGTCCGATGTGATAACACGACTGTACTGGGAGAAGATGTCAACATCAAGGATGAATTGCTCGTCAATGGAGCATCAGGTAAAATCTATACCACTCACTGCTTCGCATTCCATTCCATTGATCATTGTCTCTCTCATCGCCCAACAGTCTTGCCCCATAAATCCATCTCGGCTTCGATCACTGAACCAGCAATCGTGATGTAGATCAAAGATGATAACGCAACTCGTTTTCCACATGTGTGTATGCGTTGGCTGTGCCTCTCATCACCAATCTTGAGGTGGACACCCTCCGTTTGTGCAATGTTTCTTTTTTAAAGTGGACCATCAGACATCTATAATTATTGCATGAAATGAAATAAGACGATACAGAACTTATCCTTAGCGTAGCTGTATGATATTAAACATTTTCACGTCCATCTTTTGTGGTACATGATACTGACAATATTTCAATGATTGAATAAAATACCATTTACAAATTTACTTTGATCTCACGTTTCCAACTATAGCTGGGGAGCCCTTCTCACCTTTTGGTGCAATCTTTCGAGAGAAACAGACATGCTGAATCAGTTGATTGAGCACAAACTTCGGATTCCCTAAGCTGATGTTTCATGAGATGCTGGGGTAGAATCTGCCCACATGTACTGAGAGAGAGAGCGGTCAACTTCTCTCATGAAATTTAAAAGACTTTAAACCTGGGATATCACCTGCATGCTTCAAGTATGTATTCATCCATTTTATATCCCCCAGCACATCAATCTTGCTGATACCTGTTCTGGTGTGATACATGAACACAGGAAGGAGTCATAGGTTCATGATTTTTCCGGAGGCAAATCTTAGGGGATCATTGGACAGTTCCCCTAAGCCCTGAATAGCGCATATAAACTCATCAAGCTCCTCTGAAGCCCACCTCATCTCCAATGTTGACCGAGGTGAATGAATGCGCGGTGTAAAGCCTGTTTATGTGTAACAGGTGTGAAAGAGGCTGTGTAATGGAAGACCAGAAGCACCGAGAGTCTAATTTTGATCCCGCATGCTTGCATTCACAAAGTCACCAATCCTAGTCAGAAAATTCGTGGTACGCATATGGTTTGATTCCTCTCGTGTTCTCATGACTCGGTGTTCCATTCACAAATGTGTATGTACAAAGATAAGTGTTACTTTTTTTGTCGACTCTTGGCATCAAAATCTTGAAACTTGATGCCTTAGCTTGTTATATAAATATGAGATTATATATATATATAATCGTCTCGCTAGAACTGGCTGTGCATGATGAAGCCGAACAATATGTGATTCATCTTGGGTTAAGAAGGGTATATCATGAGACTCAAACAGGCGAGAAAGAGATAAGATGACGTATTGTAAAACATGCTCAGATTATAGCGGCGGATGTGATCGGCGTTAAAGCTTAGAGGGTCATAGGATACATTCCATTCAACGAAGAATTGATGAAGAGATGAACTTTGATGTTCGGGAATATAATGGACTCTAAGAAGATGGATGAGTAGATGAAGGGAATCGGATGCATTAAGAACTTAATCACAGCTTTTTCCTTTAGCCTTAGGAATCAGGAATGATACTCCAACTCGCTCCTACCAACACGCGCATTTACGAATGTGATTTCCATCTTCTTAAAGGATATGCCGGTGGATCCCGGGATGAATTGGTATATCTGGCCGGGGAATGATGAGAGTTGAAGGCGATGAGGTGTTTAAAGTTTCATGAGATGATAAAGTTTTTTTTTCTTTCAAAAAGATGAGAATAAATCAGTTTAACCGATGAATCATGATAGTTATACCGAAGGATTTAAGAGTATCGAGTTTACACAGCTCTAATGCTATGTATGTATGATGATGGTTAATCTTTTTTTTTTTGGTTTTGTGATGGGTCATTTGATCAAGATTTCTTATAAGACTGTTATTGATCTTTATGGAAGAAATAGTTATTTCAAGTCTCATCATTCTTAATTTAAATCTAAAAAGGTTTTTTATGACAAAAAAAAAGGAGAAAAGGTGAATCATCATTAGACTTAGAAATAAGAAATAAGAAATGAAAAAAAAAATAATAAGAAAGATTACCCGATGATTCCATCATTAACACCTAATCAAGCATACATTTCGCAGATCACGTTCCACAAGAGTTGCATCGCCTCGAGACTCGAGTATCTCTAGGAAAGAAGAAAGATTTGACTCAGTCTTGTAGAGTGGGAGTGACGGACGGATTATAAAGACGTGAGTTTTATCCTTCATACTTCTTTCACACTGACAGTGAACACCCAGATCAAACTCAAACTGAAACAACTAACCCGACAAATCAAAAAACACCCACACACACACAGAGACAAGAAATCGATCTCTCACCTTCATAAAAAAGATAAAGAATCCTTGTCTGCTTCGATCAATTAGCTCTGGTATATTAGCTTTTACGTCAAACTTCTCAAGTTTTTTTAACGCCAATTTCAAAATACTTCTGTCCGGCGTTCTCTCCGTCGCGTGCTTCTTTCAATTGAACTCCTTCAGCGCATACATTCCTCAGCGTCATCGTTTCTTGTTCCAGTTCACCCGACACAATTATCCAAGATCTTGGAGTCCAATTATCACTACCATCCGTGCGTAAGACAACTCTTTTGATCTCATTAATCAAACATCAATTCTAATCTTGAGGTCATTTGTTTTGCTTGATTGATCAGGTAAGTTAGTATTACAATTCATAGCAAGCCATTTTAAAAGAAGCACTCGTCTTTGAAATCAATTTACTTGAAAAGACTTTTTAACTGACCTTGAAATATTCTGTTTGACTCCTTGACACTGCGTTTAAAGATACCTTAGGAGGTTCTTTTCCCTAAACTTCTTCAAACACATTTACCATTTCCCAACAATTTACACTTTATACTTTTTTCTTTTTATCGTGTAAACTCCCCTATTTTACAATCTGGTCTTATCATCTTTCCATCTTCTAAGTCTGAGGGTCAGGTTTGATTGTAGATTCTACTCAACTTTTTTTTTGGTCTTAGTCTAGCCCTATTTGTTCTTTCAGTTCATAAAAGGCCATTTCTTCAACCGCCATCTCTTGATACATAAAACCCCTTTAAGATTCAAATCACTACGACCCTCATCCCGCCGCATACTACCTGCTCATTCCAAATCGCCTATACTCCCAATTTTCATTCCAAATTCTCTTGATTTTTTATCCTATTTCATCATGTTATCAACTCATGAAAGAAGACCTTCATCCAAATCACCTAATAGAAATAAAAAAGATTGTAATTCACTTGAACGTCAACAATCTAAACTGATGATCACTATACCTAATCATCCAAATCCACGAGATTCTACTACACCTACACCCAATTCTAATCACCATCAACTAAACACACCTAATTCTAATCATCATCATCATCATCGCCCCAACACACCCAATTCAATTTCATACGTAGCACAAATCGATCAAGGTATCATCTCACAACCGAGGTCCGAGTATGGTGACTACTTTGTCCCGACATCCGACGGACGTGTACAGTGTCATTCTAAAGCCACGGGACCAGCCCGATTATCATTAGAACTGAACTTACAATTACAGAAACCGAATCTGATGAAAAGAAGAACCTCAAACTTACTCTATTGTTCAAGTAACAGTCCCAGTACTCGAACAACATCTTCAACCGAACAAGAACTCGAACGATCATCCAAAGAAATCTTAGATCAACGAATCGAAAAACACATTGCATTTGCTAAATTCTGTGAACTTACTCGATCCTTAATGTCTTCTTCAAATCTAACTTCTACTAAATCGAATCCTAAAATCATGACTACTCCATCTGGTAAACCTATTCCACCTAGACCTAGAAAATTAGCTTTATTAGGTTCTAGATCGGTGGGAAAATCTTCTTTGGCTGTTCAATTTGTTGATGAACATTTTGTAGAAAGTTATTATCCTACCATTGAACATACTTTTCAAAAAACTGTCGAATTGAAAGGTCAATTGTTTCATTTAGAACTCTTTGATACGGCTGGTCATGTAAGTCTATCATCACTTTCTTCTTGATCCAATTCATCATCAATTCTAAAACTGATTCTTTCTTTGATTTGGTGCAAATGAAGGATGAGTTTACTATTCTCGATTCAAAACAAGCTATCGGTCTAGATGGTTGGGCATTAGTTTATTCTATCAACTCTCGATCTTCTTTCGACATGGTCTCAATCATCCGTGATAAGATCCTCAATTTCACCGGTCAAGATTCAGTACCTATGGTCCTAATCGGTAACAAATCAGATCTAGAAGCCCAGCGGTTCGTTCTCTCTCTCTCTCTGCCTTCAAAAACCAACTTGCCTTCTCATTCAATTCTCACACTTATTTTTCTTCTTTTTCTTTATTAGGCAAATCTCAACTGAAGAAGGTGCAGCTCTAGCCAAACAATTTAATTGTGCATTTACTGAAGCTTCGGCTAGATCAGGTGAACATGTAGCTAAAAGTTTTTTATTAGGTTTAGCAGAAGTAGAAAAAGAAATTAATCCAGATTCAGCTAAACCTGAGAATTCGAAATGTATAATTTGTTAAAACTGTTTTCTTTTTTTTCTATTCATTCATAATAATGATCATATATATATATGTACACGTTTGTTCTTTTGTTTTACTATGCTTTTGGTTTTATTCATAAAGAGACTTAATTCGATTTCATATCCTCCTTTTCTTCATATGCCTGTCTCGATTTCGATTCCTAATTTTTTTCTTATCTTCGTCTTTTTCAACTTTACAAAAAAGATCATCTTGTTTGTGAGATGCAGATTGTATGATGAAATCTTTCTTGTTGTCTTATCTTGATCTATCTCCATCTTCATCTTTTTTATCCATAAGCTGATCTTAATTACAATCTGAAGCGCTTCTTTACATTTCAAGCCCTTTGCACATGCCTAGATGAGGATTTGTTTATCATCTCTTTTGGGTCTCGCTCATTCGATGACGTACATAGTGCGGGACAAGTACACCACGAACCCCCCCTAACGGTTTCCCAACCGGTGTGAAACACCGGTTGTGAAACGGTATTTCATGGCTGGTGGACTTCTCGTCAGAAACCGCCTCTGTAAAAACCGGTTTTTGCCCAATTTTTGAAAACCTGTGGCCAAACCAGTTATGACCGGTTTCCAAACCGGTTTTGACCGGTTCTGCACTTGGTCTTGAAAACTATATGATTGCTTTGATTTTGTTTTGGTTCTCAGGGTTATGCTCAAAAGGCAAAGAAATGTACACAAAAGCTTTATACACTTAAATTTCAGTAGGACCCTGGAAAGCTCCTACCAATGTGTCTGACGAAAATTAGGACTTTTTTCAATTTTTTTCTGGAAAATTATCAAATTTTAGTCAAATTAGGACTTTTTTGGTCACAAGCCTCCCGGCCTCTCCCCCTGTTGAGCTGGGTTTTTTTTAAAAAACGTCCAAAATAGGACTTTTTTGGTCAGATACCTCAAAATTATGGAACCCGGACAAAAGCCCTGAAACCCGGACAAAAGCCCCGAGCCGCGGGTAAAAGCCCTGAGGGGCCCGGCCGAAGCCCGAGAAAGAAGCGTGATCTGTATGTATATTTCATTTTTGTCAGTTGCTGGACAGGAACTGGGCAGTCCACGCGCATATGTTAAAAAACTGCCGAGACATCTAAGCCTCATCTTCATCAGCTGGCTTAGTGGCCAGCTGATGTCGTCGTTCTTCCTCGTATTTTTTCACCAACTGCTCCATCTTAATAGATAAAAACATTTCTCGAATCACTGAAGGGACCGAATAACTCCCCTCTTGTCCAGGAACTGATGCAAAGTTTGAACCATCCGATGGTTTAAAGACATAGACAATATCAGCTGTATCGAGAAGGCTGAATGTCCAGCTATACGGGTATTGGGCAGAAGTAGCCATTGCAACAGGCCACACTGGGTTGTAAGTCAGGACTTGCACACCCACATGAGATAATTTTTTCCTCGATTTTGCACTTGTCACGAAGGCATGTTTTTTTGAAACATACTCATACACAATCACTGTGCGACATAAATGCATTTGCTTTGAAAAGAAATTGGTCAGCAGCAATCAATGACAAGACCAGCAGATTCTTCAAATCAATACTTACTTGATTCTTGATTGCTAAAAGCAATTTGCCGGGCTCAATGGGATTTTCAGGCGTGATCAAACCTCCATCAAATAGTTGCTGCAAGTCGACTTGTTGGAGGTGAGATGTGTTGAGAATAAGACCACTAAGATTGATCCTAATATCCATACTCCAGCGGTGTCTACGGGCTGCACCGGTTGGTGTGCTGACAAGACTCTTCATGTATACAGAAATAGCCTTTGAACACTCACTGGGATTCATCTTGCCGTCCACAGTCGTACTGTCCAATCTTAAGTCGTCAGGATTGATCAGGTGTCGTTCATTCCCTTTATGGCAAGCCACCTGACTATCATGCTTTGTTCGGAGATAGACTAGGTTTTTTTGATGTAAATTTCCGCATTCAACCAGCCTCAAATATGTTTGATCAGTCGCACTCTCAGCCAAACGGTCTTTGTGAAGTGGTTTTACCAGAAAGCAATAGTCAGATCGATTTTTGAATTGTAAACTGCAGGCACTATTACTTACCAGATGGATTCATTAAGTTTGTGATGGACATAGCTGCATTTTGGATTGCTTCGGTTTCGAAATTTTCAGGAACCTGATTAAGTAGTAGATCGAGTGCATTTTGCTCTTTTGCTAATGTTGCAGCTTCAGCAAAAGCAACCTCCTCAGAAAATTCTCCAGGATTTGAGGTGTAATGAACACAATAGTCCTTAGTCGCGCACGTTGATATATCTGATAGGAACCCAAACTTGATGTCAGTACAAAGTATACTACAGTTTTCAAGACTTTAAATTCGCATACCAGGTGAGCTATCAGTCATATCTGGAACAAGGTCTTCATCATCAAAAGGCAGATCATCGTCCTCAACAGGTAAGTCATCATCTTCAGGATCTAATGGACCCATCCCTGCTAGATGAGCCAGACCATTTGCAAGTTGATTGGCGATGGTTAGATCCTCAGAGATCTCGGCATTAGTTGGGTAAGTCCGAAGGTGTTCGATTGTTTCTAAGGTTCCCTCGTCGCCAAAAGCATATTGATAACCCGAGTGAATGTGTTCAGAAGGAGGGATTTTGATTTTGCCACTCATTACACTCTTAACAACTGCATGAATCTTTGGCATCATGAACCGAGCATCAAGGACGGAGAAGCAAGGTGAAAGTACTCGCATCCATCCAAATACATGTTCGCAGGATTCGGTTCCATGCTTCCAAGGACAGAATGGATAGTCTGGATAGTAATCTCGATATGATATGATCATACCCAGAAGAGAAATGGGAAGACTGGAGAATATTTTATAACTAGCGTGTGAGATGCAGTTTAGATGAAAACTCATGAGACTGTTCGTCTCTTTCTCGCGTTTCTGAAGGTAGCCTTTCCATCGCCGTAAGAAGAATCCCGCAGTCCATGCAGAGCGTATGCGCTCTCTGTGTCCCATACTTTTACTCAACCAAGAATTGACCAACTCGCCGATGATGAAAAGAAAAATTGTCAAGCCGGTAGACAAATCGAGGCGAAGTGAGGCTGAAAGAGTGGATGCAGATAGGGTTCGAAAAGCTCGGCCATCATCTTGCTTATCACTATCAAATACATCCTTTGCTAGAAGGGGACTATCGGGCATCTTGAGAATCTCCGCAAGCTGTTGGATAGTGATGGTATACTTTCCCATGACAAGCAACCGCGAACCAGATAAAAGTTGATTTGCTCCAGTCTTTCTCGCATGCTTTGGGTCCTGTACAGCTACAACTGGGCGAGGAGGATTTCCAAACAGAGGTACTTTGACATGTACTCGCAAGTTAGATTTTGAATATGTAAGATATTTATCAGTCTTTTGAGCAAGCAGTTTCTGAGCGGATATCTCAGTGGCAGCACCATCAGCTCCCATTTACATGATGTTGATACCGGATGTGTGTGCCAGCTCAATAACAGCTGCATGCTCATCTGCAATATCTTTTGCTCCTTCTTTTGACCGACTAGATATGAGAGCTACTACATAAGTTGGAATATTTGGCAACGGCACCTGGATGGTGTAAGCTCGAATCTTGATATGAAAAATGAGGCATTATGTCAGTGTTTTGTACAAACATTATGAAAAATTATAGTACAAACTCACCTTTGAACATAACTTATCATTGTCAACTATGTCTTTCATAAGTCTTTTAAGTTCTTCATTGTTCTCAAACGGCTTGTCGCCTCCTTCTGCACCCACTAGACACTGATTATGATGTCGCAGTGTTTTGACACACACTGTCTGGTCGGACGCAGCAGCAATTGGTCCTGAGTAACCCAAGGCTTGAAGATTCTTCACAATTCGATGGAAATTTGCTGGATGTATTTCAGGTTCCATTTTCCCTCCAATTTTTGCCTCAATCATACGTTGACTTCGGGCTGTTCAACCTGCAAAAGTCTTGCTGAAAAGATTAAGTGCACTGCGACTCATTGCTCCAAGAGTGGTGAGGCAGTCGTCTAAATATGGATCAACCCGCATCCCTCGGAGAGACTTCCCTGCCATTTCACGTTCTGCTCGCACAGCAACACTCTTGAACAAACCTTGAACCGCCTCTCGATCTTTGAATAAACCCTTGCCGGCCAAGATTGAAACATGAGTTAGAAACTCGCGAAAGTCTCTGTTCTGTGAAGACTCAAGAGAGCTTTTACAGACCCGAAGATCTTTGAACTTTACAAAGGTGGCGTGGTGTATGTCGGTTTCCATGAGCTGATCAGATGTATATTTGAGGGTATCTTCATCAGCAAATTCATGATTGATTGCGCTGACCAAACTACGGACTCCTTTGAGAGATTCACATTCTGAACAATTTTGGATTTTCTCAGTTTTCTTTATCAGGAGGGTAGTTGTACATTTTCGAGAGTATATAGCACTACGTGATCCATGACGTTTGACCTCCCATATTGCTCGAGCATCAAGTGTAGTCATCAATCTAGCTTTTTCATCGGTTGAAAGTTGTTTTTCGGTCGCATTCTGTCCAAAAAGCTCTTGGCATACGCGGTGTCGATTGTTTCCGCGATAGATACTACATGTATGTTCAAGAAAGTAGTTGATTGAATATGTTGCCCGTGGTCGATCCCATGTAGCATCGGTGAGACCAGGACACTCAATCTCAACAAAGCCGCGTTTGACCCGTTTATCATCTCCGTGTGATTGGGCCAGAAATCCAACCAACAGTGCATTTGAGCGTAATGTAGAGGTCTTCTGTTTACAGGCTTCTGTAATTTGATAAAGTGATTATAATCAGTAAGGTCAAAGATAATCTGAAAGTAGAAAGAAGACTGACTTGTATTCCAATGACTGAGTGCTTTCTCACTGCGCCCAGCTCGTAAGAGTATCATCTTTTGACCGCAATGACATCGAAATTCCTTATCCGCTGATGTTACCTCAATCTTGCATCGGTTGCAAGGGGTATTGGGTGTTGATAAAGGACAATTATCAAGGACTTTTGTAGCCTTTTTGGCCTTATCGACTTTGGAAGAGCCACACGTAGATTTCTTTGGAACCAATACAACATTGCTGGTGATTTTACGTGGTTGGGTGACCTCATCATCTGAAGATATGAGATTGACCTTCTCGATCTTGTTCAAGACACCAGGAGGTTTCTTTGGAGCCGATACAGTTGCGCTAGTGCTTTTACGTGGTAGGGTGACTTCATTGTCTGAAGATATGATTATTGTAGCTTCCTTGGATTCAAGGGTATCAACTTGAGGGCGTTTTGCAGCTGGTTTTTTGGGTTGACTGTGACAGGCATCTGGATCTACATCAGGCTGTGAAACAACTCGACGTTTCATGACCATTGATGCCCCATGAGATTTTCTTGCTGACATAGAATCACTTGATTTTCCAGCTATGTGCAAGCAAATCATAAAATCAAACTACACTCAATGGTGAGATCCATGTTAATAGGAATGAAGAGAAAATTTACCTTCGTTTTTGTCTCTATCAGCGGTTGTTGCCCCTTCATCAAGGAAATCAGAAGCCCCAGCCTCTGTGACGATTGTTTGACTCAAAATCAATTAGCTTTCGTCAGATATTAATATCAAAATTGGTGAAACTAACTTATTAATTCCTGAACAATCATCTGAAGCTTGGCCTTAAGAAGACCCTCCGAGTTTGGTGTCCAAGTCTTGTGATCGCGGGCCTTGCTGAAATATTTCAGAGCCAATTCGATTCCGAGAGAACCTCGCATCAGATTTTTTTTAATGACATCAATTCCAAAAGTTGCTGTGATCTTCTTATCGACCGCAAACCATATGCCTTCATCTTTGTCTTGAGGACTCATCCATGGTGCCTCATGATAAACCATATATAATTTATCATCCCTGGTAGCAACTGGTAAACTTGGACACGCTTGAGTGAGTCGCATTATCTTTGAAATCAGTTTGGCAACTTCTGGCTGATGGATAGTCTTGTGAGACATTGTGGTTGCTGCTCTATTTGTAGTTGAGTGTTGAAAGGCAGTGAATTCGAGTATATAGATTGGAGTCTATGAAGCTATTTGAAGTTTTTTGAGGGTATATCAAGAAAATATGTCAAGCTAAGGAAGCAACAGGAAGCAATGCTATATAATGTGGAAAATTTGCAATTTTTCGCAGACTCAGCTGTATTGACACAAGTTTGTTATAGTTTTTGTTTGGTTAATCTTTGAAGTGCAGATCAGACCTTCTGGAAAAAAAAAAACTGATTGTAACAGTAAAAAAATATATATATATATCAAAGAAAAACCAAAGATAAAAGAAAACACACACACACACACACACACATCAGACACACACATCAAACAAAAACACAAAACAAAATTTATAACAAATTTATACTAATCAATTTTCTTTCCTTTTTCGATTGATCAATCACAACTTTAGAATTTTGATAAAAAGAAAAAAAAAAAAGATACGAATTAAACTTATTTTTTTTTGTTGGTTTCGGAATGATTTTTCTTGACTTTTGAATTTAATATCTCTTTCTTCTTCTTCTTCTATCTCTTTCTTTTTTTCAATATATTTCTTTTAATGATGTAAGAAGAAAAAAAAAATCCAAAAAAAAATCAAATCAATCTTCATGTACTTCTACACCAAAAAAAAACCAAATACATATAACTAAGTTAAGTAAGTAATTATTTTTAAAAAAAAAATCCTCCAAAAAAAAAACTTTCATTCAAAAATAAATAAATAGACATAATTTCCAAATTTTTCTTTCTTTTGTTTTCTATTCTTCACAAATTCTTCTTCTTCATTCATTCAGCGCCAGTCACCCTTTTACTCCTTAAAACAGTAGCTAAAGCTTTTACTCTTTCTTTCCTTTTATGATGATTATGATTATGATTATGACCGTGATTGTGATGATGATTGTTATGATGTGAATGATTTGTATGGGTCCCATTTGTAGTAGTAGGATTCGATGAATTCGTACTTGTGGTGACTTCTACATCTCCAAATACAATCTTCGAAGGTAATTCTTCGGCTTCCGCTCCTCCTTGTTCTTCCTCCAAATCATTTCCTTCAGCTTTGACCGCTTTCTTTCCTGCTTTCTTTCCTAATGCTTCCTTTTCACCATTTTCAATCGATTTCCCTTTTCCTCTTCCTCTTCCATTCACATTCCCAGTTCCATTCGTATAGCCAGCTGTTCCACTAGTAGTAGAGAAATTTCCAAATCGGATAGGCGTCGAAATGGGCAAATTTGAGAAATCGGGCATGATGGTACTAGCAGATGTTGGTGTTGTAGCGGGGTATGAATGATGGTGATGATCAAACTCAAGTGCATAATTCGGCTTGGTTTCATATATCGTTCTTTGTGGATTTGATGATGATGTTGACTGTACACCACTACTTGAACTACTACTTCCTCCGGATTGGAAGAACCGATGGAAATAATTAATCCCATTCCCATTCGGTCCAGTATGGCTGTCAGTTGACGGTTTCGTATCTGTTGCGTCAGCAGGTTTGAGAGCTGTACTTTCATTCAGTTTATCATTCTCTTCCTGTTGTTGTTGTTGTTGAAGTAGTAATTGCTGCTGTTGCTGTTGCTGTTGAAGTTGTTGTCTCAATTGAAGTTGATGGATTTCATTGGCAAGGTAGTTGATTGAATCATGATGAAGATGTGGATGATGTTGCCAATCTAGATCTCGATCAAGAGGTGCAGGTTCCGAAGCAATCGATTCAGGGGGGTAGCGTGGTCTCGCGTCGGTCGAGGTGGTGGCTTGTCGATATACATGATCTTGCATTAGTCTAGCTGTAAGCGGCGGATACGTCGGCACTGAGATCGCAGCAGCGTGTCTCATTGCGGCCTGATGCTGTTCCTGTTGTTGTTGTTGTAGAAGAAGTTGTTGTTGGAAATCATCTTCATCCTCTTCAAGTGGGTCATTTGATATTCCATTAGAGGCTGTAAGGGCCAACGATCGAACTGAGTAACCCCCATGAGCGCCAGGCAAGATAAAAAGGATCAGCGCACGAGGTTTTGATAAATGTATAGACATCCGAATCGGCCTTACTTGATGTTTGAGCGAGGCCTGGCTCTTGAGATCCAGATCCCCATTTCCGAGCCGGAGGGGACTGAAAATCATTGATATGAGGAGATTGAGAGGCAGATGAGGGTAATTTAGGGTTGGGTGCCGACTTTCGTCGACCAGTACTGGAAGGTGGAGCCATCAAGACTCCTTCTTGTCTTTCCTCGCAAAGTTCACGAATCATTACATCTAATCGATCTGTACGAGTAGATAAGACCCGGACTGCTCTCATGAATTCACCCCGTATCTGACCAAATGAGAAAATTTCATACAGAATGGTGTAAGTATCATGCGTTTCGAGTGGGAATGATGCCGGTCTTGCCCCAACAGACAAGAAAGGAGTGTGAATGAAGATATGGCTAGGCTCGGTCAGGCCCTGATTCAATCTTCTCGGTGCACTGATTCTAAGGCTGGGTAAATCGTGGGAAGAGATGAAGTGAAAACGAATGTGTGAAGCGCACGGTAAAGAGCCCATCACGAGTGACCGTCCTAGCAACGTTATAATTGATCTGGAATGGATCCTAAGTCGAATAGATCGACGAAGATGATTCATGCGAGTGTGAGTATCATTATGTTAGGGGTGGAAGGTCCAGGAGTTACAGACCGCTCACCTCAATACAAAGCCGATTCAGGTCAACTTTCGCATAAGGACTGCGACCGCCATTGACGGCGCCACCCTCTTCGATGATGTCTTGCATCCAACCTTTATGTTCTTTAGAGAGCAGACCACCAATTGATCTGATACTGACCACATCGTGCGTGTAACGAAATGTAGAAGCGAAAAATCTAAAGAAATCAATCAAAAGTTCTCCGACGTTTTCTCGATTGGTACCAGTCCAATAGCGAGGTAAGGCATCGAGATCATCAAAGAAATAAATAGAATGACCATCATGTATCAGTTCCTCAGGTGGTGATGGTCTAGGTGGTGGCAATTGTTGAAGATTTCTGTTTCAAAAGCAGCAAGGCAGTAGAAAATAGGGGGTTCGAAGGAGACGCATGTGTTAATGTTTTGGTTCGAAGATGACTTTCGAAGTCTCGAGGACGTACGGTAATACTGCATCCTTGCGACCATTGACGAGGTAGTAGATTACTAATAGTACATAGCCATACGAACTTAGTGTACCAAGATAAGGATCGTTGATCCTTCTCCGTTTTGTCCAGACTTTCACTAAGAGGAAATGAAGAATAAGTGTTTGAGAGATACCTCAAATGGGGCAGATAACGTACAAAACAAGACGATAGTTCTCATCCGAGGGTCAACCATCGCATAGGTGAGTAACAAACGAGTGTTTTCGAGCGCCAATCGGTTCTCAAATCCGATATCACATGATAGTCCAAAGGGTTGGCCAGCCGAAGGAGGTAATGAAAGTTTGATAATCGGAATTCGTGCCTTGGGTAGCATTTTGACCATGAAAGAAGTTTCTGGAACCGGAATTTGAGACATCGGAGATGAGTTCGGCTGTCTGGAGTGTGAATCGTGCAGATGATAAGAAATTGGATTTACCTTCTTGAATCAGTTTACCAAGGATGAGGACCATTTCTGCAGGAGTTTGCTTGACAGGCTTTGTAGTTAGTTTTGGTTCTTGAGGTTCTTGAGATTCTTGGGATTCTGAAGGGTCAGCTTGAGTAGACTGATCTTCAGCATTTGATGATGGTTTTGGGGAGGTCGGTTTTTCTTCAGTATGATCGATTAGACAACAGAGGTCCATGTCCGAGTTCCTTAAAGCCAAACCGGATGCTAGCAAAGAAAGATGGTGAGATTGAGAGATTAGATAAAGTTGGCGAATGTATGAGTAGATGACGGAAGATGACTAACCAATGGAACCAAATGGTAAGAGTCGAGCACCTGGTGAGACCTTATCAGCCAAAGTTTCAAGGTATTGACGAGTCTGTTCTTTGATCTTTTATGATAGAGAGAATGAGGGGGTAAGTCAATAAGTGGTATTTGGTGGAGGAAAAGTGGATTAATCAACCTGATATTCCTCTGCAGTAGGAAGTACCGAGGGTAAGAAGATTTGGGTGATATAAGCCGCCAATTGTGCGGTATGTTGTTGATAATGAGATAAATGATGCTGTGATAGAGGTAATACATGAGAGAGTTGACTTGAATGTAAAGATTGAGGTTGATGACGTAGAGGGGATGTAGTAGTAGATGAATGACATTGTTGTGATTGTGGTTGTTGTGATTGTGGTTGTTGTGATTGTTGTTGTGAAGATTGAGATTGAGAAGTTGATGATGAAGATGAAGATGAAGAAGTGGTTGTTGTTAATGAGATTGGTGATTGAGGATTAGCAGGTAATCTATGAAGAGTACTTGAAGTTGAAGATGAGGGATGTAATGAATTTGATCTATGATTGTTATTGTTATTGATCGAAGTGGATTGTGAGTAAACTGATGAGATTGACATTTGGTTTGATGATGAGATGGTAAACTGATCAAGAATAGTCAATGGGGATGTAGTAAGCTAAACTTGGATTGTAGTTTCTTATCGATCTTGAGTTTGGTTGTCTGAATGGTTGGTGATTTGGTTTTTGTAATTTGGTTTCGTTGGATATGTGAATTTCGTTTTCGCTTTGATGATTGGCTGATGGATGATGGGCTGATGATTGGTGGTGATAAGTAAAAGTGAAGTGACTTTGACTCTGAGTGCCGTTTAACTATCGAAGTGTTGATTTTCAATTTTTCAATTTCACCTTGGCAAATTCGACAGTCAAGTTCAATTTAGATTTAAGTCTCTAATATTTGACTGCTTTAATCTCTCGATTTGACCTGTTTCAACTTTCAAGCGTGTTTGATGGTTTTCTCTCAATCCTAAGGTCTTTGTATGTACATAGTGCTACGTAGTTAAGTCTAAGTGGTTTATATCTCTTTATGTTCAGTTTTCTTGTTGTTGACCATTTCTTTGATGGTCATGGTCATGAAAACTTTAACATCAGATCAACTTAATGCCAATCGAAATCAATCTTCAAATCAATATATCACTTCAACTTCAACTTCTTTGAATGATGAAATCAATATCTTATCTAGATTGGTTTATCTCAACAAAAACCAACATCGTGCTTTGATTTGGTATAAGAAATCAGTAGAAGTTTATCGTTGGTCAAAGAAAGTTTTAAAAGTTTTATCAAATCCTATAGATGTCACTCAAACTAATCATATCGTACTCATCTTAAACTTTCTCATTGAGGTAAATCATTCTTCTTTCATACTTATCAAACTTTTGGAAATTGCTTCAAAAACTGATTTACTTTGCAAAGATTAGGCACAAGCCAGGTTATTAAGATCTTATGGGTGAGTTCTTCTTCTTTATCTCTTGAAGACACATATCAGTCTTGAACTTATCATATTTTAAATCTATAGGTCTATCATGCAAAGTGTGGCAAGAACAGCTTTCATGTCAGCCGGACTGGTTATCATAGCTTCAATATCTCGTATCAGAGCACTTTATGAATGTCTTGAAACTCATCTTCAACATTTGGTACCCACTTCTATCGAATCTATCAAAAGAGATGCGGTAAAAGATGACGTAGCATCTGAAAGCGGCGATCTATGTTCAAGTACGCCTATCCAGCTCACTGAATTCTTTCTGTGTCACTGATACGGATTCATTTCTCATACAATAGCAAAATCATCCAATCAGACCACTCCTCGTCAATCATCTATACCCGAACCAAACCCTGGAGCTCAACTATTGGAAAACAATCAAAACTCGTCTCTAGAACCTGTTGCGCCAACAAAATCAATCAAAGTTGAATCACCTCCCTATATTCAAGCTAAAATGTCCACCAGCCCTACAAAACCTCTTGATCCTGCAATAAATATCCTGCCTCAAGCTTTTTGTAGCACCGCATCTCTGCCTCAATCAAAAGATAAGTCTCTTAATCTAAAAACCAAAAGAACTGATCATCTTTCACGTCCTAGTAAGAAGAAAAAAGTTAAGAAAGATGCATTGGATGAAATCTTTGGAGATTTATAATCTATCCTTGTATACAACCATTCTTGTATATATAAATCTTAGTATTGGTTGATGATTATCCGGAAAAAAGACTTGTGAATGGTTTTCTGTAATTGTGGACGGTTATGAATTCAACAAGTTTTTGCAATTTGATTGGTTTCAAAACTTGTCGATACTGGTAGGACTCAGAAAAAGACTGGTATTCTTTAGTCATTATACTACTATTACCAGGTACATACACATCTGTATCACGCAACAATTTCAATGTATGCCTATGGATTGAACTTGGAATATGAAGTGATCAAAAGTGAACCAATAAAAAAGAGATTTGAAAGAGACAACAGGACAATGAAAACACCAAGGGAAGAAGTTTGGAGAAAATAATCACTGGGGAAACAAAAATTGAGCACATGGCTTGGTACATCCTCTCTCTTGTGGTGGCTCTGATGTAGGGAGCTCCTCATGGATGAACAAATAAATAATCTTCGAAAGCATTATCTGACTATCAATCCCTATAGATTCCCCGACCCAAATTTGATAGTTTGTGCGATCTCATATGCATTCTTGCGTAATATGATCTTAGATTCTCTTCAAAAGATTTAGAATCCAATGGCATTATAGCAAATGAAGAAGATTGAGACCATTGAGTATGAAGCTCCCAAATTTGTGATAGCAAAACATTGCAAGTATCTCCTAGTTTTAACATTTTCTTCGAGAGGTCATAAATGTTTTGTGGACAATGAAGTTCATTTGGAGTGATAGGATGTTCTGATTCAAACAAGTCCATTAGATTTATATCTTTTATTTGATCTATCAAAGTTTTTAAAAATCTCCATCCATCTGAGATTATTGGATCTTTTGATTTTGCTTTTAATGTAAGATCATTCCCATGTAACATTTGCAAAGATCCAAGGAACGGGATTGTGATTCTTCTGTACATGGATCCTACTAACTTGTTTATAGAAGGATTGAAGTCTTTAAGTTTCTGTGATCCAATGTTATATAATTTGGTTTGTAGTTCTTCACCCAGTTCATCAAAATATTCTTCTACTGCTTCGTGATGTTCCAAAAGTTGAACTTCAAATCTTCCCACATAGACAGCCAAAGTAAGTAAATCGCCTTGGTTGATGGTTTTGTCTATAGATGTTCTTGAAAGATGAAGGCATTGAAGACAATGTTGATCTAAAAGATCATGATGAGAAATCTCTTCATCTAAAGGCAGCATGTTTGCATCTTTTAACCAATCATCATGATAAATTGATGATTGACCGATCTGTTTCAAACTTGTTCCTATGGCATGAATAAAATGATCACGAGTTGCAAGGAATCTCTTATGAGTAGAACTTGATTCTCTATACCATTTCTTCCAAAATGTCCAAAGGTATTGAATTGCGATTGGAGCAGCCCCACCTCTAGCTAAATAAAAGAATAGCACAAGTGGTTGCATTCCTGCAATTTTATTGACTTTTCTTACTGGAATGATTTTTGCATTTGAGGTTGATAATGAAATTCTCCATGGATTTAACAACTTTTGAATGAGGAACCAACCATCATTGATTAATTCAACAATTTGATCTTGGGTTCTATTAGATGGACCTTTAACTTGATGTAATACTTTCAAACAACCTAGAAACGTTCCTGATAATCTTTCTTTAGATTTTGTAATCGCATAAGGAATCTCATATCCTCTAAAGATTTTAATAGGATCGTTTTCCCAAAGTTCTTTCATATCATCACGTAGGACATTCAGCCAAGTTGAAACATCAAGACCAGGGGATTCATCAATCAATCGATTCCCCAAACTTTCAATGGTTTTTAACCAAATATGTTCTAATTTGAGGGTCTCTTGTGATTTTCTCTCTTGGTATTGGGTCCCTTGATCAGGATTCCCTTTTAACGTTGTCAATTGAAGATCATGAGGCCTTTGGGGCATGTCAGATGATTCGGCTATTGAAAAAGATGGATGTGATGGAAATGTTCTATAAGTTTGGTATTGTTTAGGATACCCGCTTTCTGATATTGTTGGCTGGTATACTTGACGTTGTTGTTGTTTGAATCTTTGGCTCACAATGTCAGATCCTATTGATGTCTGCTCTACAGTTCTTTTTCCCGAACCCCGCCCAACGTTCTCTAGCAGTATAGTTTCTTTTGATGGCACTACCTTTGAAGTCCAGGGAGTAAATGGCACCATAGTGAGCTTTGGCTCCAAAATAGTGTGGTGATATTGTGGTGGATAGATTGAATTTGATACACTATACGTGTAAGGTTTTCCACTCATCCGATAAAGCATTTGGTCTCCAAAATTTCTGATACTCCCAATTGGAAGCTTTTCATGTCGAGTAGAGCCAACTACGGAAGTTCAACATAAGTCAGACTGTTCATAGGTCTTTCCTTTTGACGCTTTAAGGAAGAAAATCCACCAATTACCTGTTGACATATCTAAAGGTCCATCGGGAGTTCCAAGGCCAAGCCAAGATTTTTCAATATTTTGAGACTCTAGTGAACCTAATTTCTTCCGCTTGTGAGATGCAGTAAATGGTTTATCCTGGAGATTGTTCACAGGAAGTGTTAATCTCATGTCTAATTCAACAAGACTGTTTATTGGAGAGTCCATTGAGCTTGACTCTTCATTCTTTTCTTGATTCATATGTCCTTCAAGGATAATTCTTTTCCCAGGGTTCAAGGATAATTCTAAATTGGGCTCTTCTGATGTGGAAGATTGATAGACCTTAGTTGGTGATTTGTTGGCATTAGAAATACTATTATGACCCAGAGATAAAGATGTATCTAGATCCATGGGTGAAGCCTGAAGTATCAAGAGGTGAAAGATCACCAGAAATATTGAATTTGATGACATTAGATGTGAGTTTTTCATCTTTCTTTGATATATAGGAGAGACTCCAGTTATCAAAAATCTTCTAGTTAATGTGAAAGAAAATGAGAGGATGAAAAAGGGACAACTGGAGTGAATACACATTTTGATGATCACAGTTTTTTCTGGTCCTGAAACAAGTCAGATCTTTTGTGATAATGATTCTCCAGTGTAGTTTTGGAGAACTATGTATTGGCTCTCAAAAGCATGGATCTATGTATGTACATCCTTGGAAGCTAGTTGTCTATATAATCTCCAAGATCTTTTTAACCTGAGTACCCAAGGCCTTTCCCCAAACTTTGGATTTGAAGCTTTTCAACCTGATGTGATACAAACTCACTATGACTTGTGAAGTAATCCTTATTGACAATTCAAAATCAGTACAGAATTACTTCAAATACAGCCTGTGAAAACTAGCCTGTGTCCTGCCTGGTCTGCCAAACTTAACCAAAGTCCTCTCGTTTTTCCGCTGTACAGGCCATCCCAAACGAGGGACTTACTCGTAATGTCTGGAATTTGGCGTGAGATCTGTCGGGGTTTTTTGCAAAAAACTATGACTCTCACTGCTCAACAATTATCACAATGATCTTGTTTTGAGCTCATAATAAACATCACGGCTTCTTCGCAGCGCCTCACCTTCCGCTCTCCGTTTTTGTATATCTCAAAAGAGGCAAAAGTTATCTCGAAAAAGCCAATTTGGGTCAACCGCGGGGCCACGCTGGGCCAGATCTATTTCAAAAGCTGCACATCCAAACATGTTCAATCCACCATTTTGCCGTTAAGGTCAAACTGCAGTTTGGCTTCCACAGGTGACATAAGGAGAATGCATTCAGGAGACCATCGCCGCGCCGCCTTCTGGCCGCAAAACCACCTACAGTGAGGGTTTTGTATTCACTTGTCTCAGCAAAAGTTATGAAGATGAGATATGACGAGTTACTTACCTCATTTTACCAAGGATAAGGGTTGATGTAAAGACGTTCAGCCTGTACAAACAAACACAGATAGCTCATTAGCCTGATGGAACCCAAAAAACAAGTTAGAGATCATGAACATTGCATTGTTTAGCATTATTAGCTTACCTTGGCTTGAATGAGCTCTTGCCACACAGAGTCTTGATTCCCGGCGCCGTAAACAAGGTTAGGAATGCCCATGAACACCCCGCGAACCACCCTCTGGGAGTACAATCCAGTTCCACGGAACTGACATTGATGCGGAAAGATTTCCGGCTTGCCGCGTGACAGTAAAGCAAGCAAGAAATCGTATATGGTCATGTGCTGACTATGAATCACTACAAGAAATATAATATTTTCTGGGCAGAAAATTAAATTATTGATATACAAAAATATTGAGAGGCCAGGAGAAGGGCAAAAAATAAATAAAAATATGCATCTTGTTCCCTGCATTGAGAGCTTCACTCTCCATATTTCTCCGTATTTTTACAGTCCATATTGATAAGTGTACTAACAATAAACCTTGGTAATCATCCAATTACAACCTGTAACAAGCACTGAAATTTGGCTCATTAGTGTTTAGAGAAACTTTTGAATTCTGAAAACACCCATAACTTTGTCAAATCTGCCTCAAAACACTTGATTTTAGGTGCATTAGAACGCTGAACTCCCGTTCTCAAACTTTCATAATATCAATAACTATGTAGCTAGTATGACAAACATTCTATGGATCTGTATGTACAAATGTATATAAAAGATGATATCTTTTTTAGCAGACCAGCATGCTGTGTGGTCTTATTATGAACTATTTGGAGGACCATTCCAGCTTGCCAATGCACTCAAAATGGAGCGTTCTGGCCCGGAATTGAAAAAGTTATGAGTTTTCTCAGAAATCAAAAGTTTCTCTAAACACTAATCTAAATACTAAAAAGATAGACCACTCACATAAGTTCGGGTCTCTCCTCTTCTCCATCGGTCGGACACATCTTCGGATATCAGGTCATATTGCCTTATGCATGCTACCAAATGTTTATTAGCTTTTGCCATCAAGCTTTTGTTGGTTCCTTTTGTTCTATGTTGATCAATGGCACTGTTCATTGATGTTATTTCATTGATGTTATTATTGACATTTTAGTGCCTCTTGTTTTCTTTTTTTGACAAACCATGATTCAAGGTCGATCTCAAGCTTATGCCACCCCAGCATCTGGAAGTGGACCAAAAGTAGAATTTCCGTGGCTCAATTACAAAAGTCTATGAGAGACAGTTCAATCATCAGAAAAACGTCTCCTGATATTTTTTGCACGTTTCTCCTATTCAACAGGCTTCGGTGATGGAGTGACAAAAGTAAGAATACATACCAATCAACCTTTCGTGTGTTGAATAGATCGTATCATTACATAATCCATCAAACAAATAGGAAGTTGAATTAGATTTCAAAAATACCAAAGCCACAAAAGTAGGAGTCTATACGGCTTCTACAGTTGCAAAGTCATTGCCTATGAAAGCGGCAATCCAATCATTAGAATTAGCTGGAATTTTTTACAAAGCTTTTAAAGATTGTAAAGTCAAACCAAGTCAAGAAAGGTATGTCCGAGTTTTATATCTTCTAAACTAATCGTTGATATCTGACTCAACTGATTCATTATTGTTTAAACTTATTTGTATCGTTTTAACAGTTGGCAGAAAGCGATTTGAATTGCATGTGAACACGATTTTTCACATTTCTTAGCTGTTGGAGGCAAATCAGTGATCAATACGTGTGAAGTCGCCAATCTATGCACTTGTTATCCTGATGCACCACTTCTTGAATTTGGCAATGCTCCAATTGGAAAAGGTTCAACAATTTTGAAGACCCTTAAGCCTCTCATTGCGGTACGAACAACTGCAGGAACTGGTTCAGAGACTCCTGGTACCGCAGCAAGTTATTCATTTGATTCTTGAGAATCTTTTGCAAAAAGGCTGACTTTTGCTTTCTTGTGGCCATATTGCAAAACAACCTCAAGTCATTCAATTTTCCTCTGCTTTACGACCTGAATCCCCAAATCTCAAATTTTGCAGCTTTGATCAGTAATCACTGCAGAGGTTGAACAAGTTGAGATTGAATTTGGCAAACTGTTACTTGCCGATGACTTCACACCTTTTACGCCTCACTTGCAGCAAACATGTAGTATGTAGACACACCAACTATCTTGAGCAGTAAGATAGTGTCTTGGGACTTTTTATATTTCAATCCTCACTTCTACCAATACTGATTTCAAGTTTTGATTATTTTATCTCAAAGTGCTCTACATAATCATGTGAAGATTACAATCAACATACATCTAAGCTAATGATTGATGTGATCTGATCAACAAACTTCATCTCATACAACAACAACTTCAAACTCCGATCCAAAATTTTGACCTCCGTCTTGATCAGTTTTGGCATCTTCTAAACAGACTTTTATAACTTATCATAGTCCATTGAAATATCCTTTCACTTGGAAAGGCTCCAGTTCCTCTACCCACCACTCTGTCAAATCACCACCTTAAGTTCAAGCCTGAAATTTTGTAAGGAAGGCAAAATGACAGACCTTTCTTCTTGTTTGGCACTCAACCTGATTTTTTCAGCACATCCCCCATCCTCTCTTGCACCCACCTCCAGTTCTGTCATTCAAACACTCAAGTACAGATTGCCCTTTGCCCTTTGATACAGATAACCACAGATCAACATCTTCTATTGTGTCCAATCTTTCACCTAGCATAATTCAAGAAAGCGTGTGTTCTCCTACTCAAGAACTTCATGAAAAAAGCAGAGTCTTCTAAAGAGCTCCAACAATAATATGGTGATGCATTATGATCCAAATTGTTGATTCTTGTCACTTTCAATTCACTTAGTTTTCACTTAGTTTTCTGTTCCTCTTTTGAACTTCTTCTGTCTCTGTTGACCTTTTTCAGTCTTCACCATGTGAGGAAGAGAGAGATAGAAAGGTTCAAAGAGTCAGATACAGATGAAAATTCAACTTTGAACTTCTTTAGTCTCATGACTGTAAGAGCAAACCCACTGATAAAGAAAAATGAAGCAGTCATAAATGGGACATGGTACAAGGACATGTAAGAAGAGGAGGCACATTTCAAAACTTCTCTTCACTATGAAATAAGATAATCAATTTGACCCTATGCATCAAAAGACCTTATCAATTTTCCATCCAGGGAAAAACACATTTCTCCTCATAATAATCAAACAAGGTGGAAATTTGCAAAAAGATTTGTAAGTTCATCTTGATCTCTTTTAAAAAACCATGAACATACACCCATACATATTCTGTTGTTAGATTAACGAAAAACCCCTAACATTCATCACAAATAGAGTTGTGAAATTGAATTTTATCAATTGTTTCCATTGAGCCTTCTCAGATAAAAGAAAATTTGGGAAAATATAAAGAATGTGAATTCAGACTCAGCTTCACCAACAAGTTGGTCCCAAGAAATTGACTTGAGTTCAAATCTTCAGTCACTTAGATTCTTTCAAAGTGTAGAATTATCTCCAGAAGCATTATATGAAAAAAGTGAGTCCTTTTCTATTCTGTGGATGCAGGAAGACAAAATTTCCTCCTTTGTATGAAACCCTATCACCAAATCTCCCTTTGTTAGACCTGGCTGAGTAAATGTAGATCAATGCATCCCTTCTGATCAATCACCAAATCCTTCCACAGAGACAACAGCAATAGGTCAACCCCAGAATTACCTAC